TTTTTTTTTTCCATTTTTCTCTTGCCTGGTTCAGGCCCAGCGACATTAGAGCTGCACCCTTGGCATCGCAACGCGGCTGGCATTCCATTTCCAACCGAGAAGTTCGAGCACGCAATATTTGCCTCGTTTCGTCGCCCGATCTCGCAACCGCTGCTTCTGCGCACTTACCACGTGGTCTTCTGGCTTTTCGGCGTAGGTGTTTGCTGATACACAGCGAGCCAAGGAGTGCTGTTAATTTGGTATGCTAATTCTTACTTGGTCGCTTTGTGCAGGTTGAGTTTCCGATTGTTAGCGGCGGCTCTTTGAAGCGCAGTGCACCCCAGAACGAGGAGGGTGTGCGCTGGTATCATGAGCGTGTTAAGCGCTGGATACACCACGGAGCACGGCCCTTTCCGGGATTCCGAGCGGCATGGTTGGAGTTTTTGGCGCGACAGCATGCTCTGCATCCTAGAGGACGGGATGGAGCATCTGTTGCCTACCTTGCCTGGCGTCGCCTATGCTCCCAATCCGTTGGTTGCCCCTCGCACGGGGGTCGCCTAAACCAAACCCATGAGTTCGCGACTCCACTTGTCGCCTCGCACACTCTCCAAGAAAACTGTCGCAACCCTGGTGGTCCCTACTGACAAGCTAGTGTGACACGTGCTTAGCGGCAACCTGCCATTCCTTATGTGTCGCATGCCAATGGGTCGCTTTCATCGCTTGTGTTTTTTCTGCCCTGGTTATCCTGTCGATAATGTTGCTGACTTCCTTCTAATAATGTAATCACTGTGCAGCTTCGATCAAATGTTACCACACACCACCCTAAACCCTAGTTCGTCACATGTCGCGCGTGAAACCCGAAACCACAGAAGCGTGAGATGGGTGATGTTTGGATGGACCGCCGGATTGGACCACGTGTTTTTGTGTGTTACACGGTGACTTGTAACCGCTTGCAACACATTAATACAGCTTGAACCCTGTGTTATCATAAGCGTCTATAGCTATCCATTTATCTCCTTTGGCGATCATACAGCACTGTGTTAGTATTCGTCCAAGTGTAGTGAACAGAGAAGCACCCTACATAGCTGAACATTAAAAAGGGGATTAAAGCTGGCCCAAATTGCCACAGGTTTAATAAGGTTGACCCAGGTGTTTTTCAAGTGGGGTTGTGGTGCAAGTTCTGATTTCGCCCAGGCTCTCGTCAAACACAGTCTCTCCTAGTGGGGTTGTGCGCAGCGCTTGAAAGTCCTAAATTGCAATCATGAATCTCTCAAGTTCCGCAGAGTACCCAACCCGTGGAAATTCTCGACCAATCAGATGTTGTCGCATTGTATGAAACCCTCTTTTCGCGAATTCGAACCCAAACACACCTCCACGTCAAGATTACTAACGTTGCCCCGTGCGCTTCGCAATTGGGCCTTAAGCCTTAAGACTGTTAATACATTGCTCGAACAAACCCTAGGGATTGTTCGTGTAAGGGTTGTCAGAGGTCCACTGGTGATCCCCGATTGATCCTAAGGAAGGGTTACAGACACGTCGGCCTGGGGGGTTATGGGCGCACTCACCTGCTACACAAACAAGCCCTTTTATCCCAGTGGTTAGTGGCTGGGATTCTGACATGGTGTCAGAGCGAAGGTCTCGGGTTCGAATCCCGGTGTGTGCACTTCGGGAATCCCAGTGCGGGGGGGTATCAGAGGTCCACTGGTGATCTCCGATTGATCCTAGGGAAGGGTTACAGGCACGTCGGCCTGGGGGGTTATGGGCGCACTCACCCGCTACACAAACAAGCCCTTTTATCCCATTGGTTAGTGGATGGGATTCTGACAAGGGTGTGCTCGCTTTTTTCCGAACGATCGAACTTTGCAGTGTTACAAAGCTTCGTCAATGTCGTTAGACAAATCCGCGAATTCCTTTCTTGCTAGTGTCCACTTTGTAGTACACTTCGAATTCAAACCATCAGTTTCGCTAGTTTTTTTAAGTTTGATTCCCTAGAAATTGCATATTTTTTATCATTTTTGCCATGCGATTTCGTCGCATCTTTACGACGTCGTGTCGCTTTGCGGGAAGTCAAGTACGGCAGCCACGTCGACATGAAGAATCATTTATTTTTCGTCTGTATTCTGTACGACTCTGGCGGTGTTTCGCACGCGACTCGTAAAATTCGATTGCGATGTGTGTCACATTTGAGCACCATTTCGCGTTTGCTTTTCTCGTACCATATGCACCGTTGTGAAAATTGTGGAAACATGGTGTTCGAATAATGCCAGCAACAAATGTTCGAATCTCGAGTTCGATTTTAGGCAGACAGATGGCAAAATGAACACGCCCTAGACGTCTGTGGGAGACTCTAAACAACCTCACCCTCTCTAGACATTCTGCATACTTGCATCGATGTACGTCGCACAGTCCCAGAACACTCCTACAACATTGTTTTCGCGGCAAATTATTTGAACTAGTGGTCGCGTTTCTCTTTCCAGCGCTGACAAACAGAGACCCCTTTCAATCCATTTTGACCTTCGCCACCTCTATCACGTCGGCTCTGATTGACATCATCCCGCCATGGCCAAGGGTTACGTCGCATCCGCGAAAGCGTGGTTGGCGGCGCAGGTCAACGACGAAGAGCGGCTCGCCGCCAACCTGGTGCGTGCCGTGCCGCTTCCGACACGTTCCTGCGTGAAGTCGATCCAGCCCTACGCTCTCACGCTCCAGCACGATCGCTCCCACGCTCGCAATAGCCTGATCGCTCTCGTTCCCGCCTCGCAACCCGCCGCTTAATGCCCATTCATTAGAAACGAGATCGCGTCCCGTCAGTCGCTGTTTGATCGTCCCGTTTCTCTGATCACCTTCATTCATGAGAAACGATATCGCATCGAGTCAGTCGCTTCTTGATTGTCCCGTTTCTCTGATCGCCTCCATTCATGAGAAACGGAATCGCATCCCGTCAGCGCTGCTTTATCGTTTCTGTGTCATCCATCGTAACGTACGGGTTGCAGGGCACTCAGCTGCGGCTCAGCTGCTGTCATCGCCACTTTATGAATGCCGCTTCTTAGCAATCAGTCCCGGGGTGATTTCTCTCGACTTACATTTGGTTACAGAAGTTCCAGCCGCATGCAGCCTCGTTCCTCCCAGTCTGTCTCTCCGTTTTGCCTAACCATGTCTCTCATTGTGTGCGCCAAACCCCCTTGCATCCCCTTGCACCCGCATTCCCCGCCTGCCATCCCCATCCCGTGCCCCCTGCTGTGCCCCTTGCCATTCCCCATGTCACCTCCTGCCATGCCATGTGTGCAACGGCTGCTGAAAGCCGTGGCAGCCTTCGGAGGGGCAATCTTTCTAATGCCCAACTTCGGTGATGCCATGGCCATCTAGCCATGGCCATCTAGCCTTCGAGCCAGCTAACTGTGCAGCCGGAGTGATGCTGGCCATCTAGCCATGTAGCTGCCCAGTTACCTCATCGTCTTGCCGGTCAGCCATCTAGCTGTCTAGCCGGTTTCAAGCTATTTAGCCAGCTAGCTGGCTAACCCATTTGCCATCTAGCAGTCTAGCTGCCAGCCCAGATTGGCTGTGCGGTGTGCTGGACTCTGGCCACATGCCTTTGCGGAGATAACTACTACAACGGGAGCTAGACTTCGGGCTAGGCACGGGTGCTCATGTGATCTCTGCGTTCGTTGTTCCTTAGTCGTTTTCCTAATGCACACACTGCTTGCTAGTTCACGGGGCAATTTGGCAAGAGTTTCACTAAGAAAAGTTGACAACAATGGTACACACAAGATGGCAAGACTAGACTACGTCAGAGCTAGGATGCAGGCAGGTCGACTGCCAGCGTAGCCTGGTCGACCGCGTGCTAGCACGGCCGCGTTCCAGCAGTGCAGAGTTGCGGCTTGCCAACGCTGCAGGTCGACGACGTGCCAACATCGCAAGTCGACGGCAGGCCAGCGTTGCTCCCGCAGTACAGCATCGCACCAGCTTCGCATGTGCTCGCAGATGATTGGCGTGCTGAGCCTTGTCATCTGCACAGCGCACACACCAAATCAACCTGGCGCTGACGACTGCATCTGAGCAGCCACGTCAACCTCGGGATACCACCACCGAGGTTGGTCTCACCAAAACCACCTGGGCGACCATCACACTCCTCCGCAGAACTTTGTCACGTAGGTAGCCTGGTCGACCGGGCAACCATGTCGACCAGCTGCTCTTGTATGTGCCCGTCGACCTCCCAAGTCGACGGCCACCTTCAGTCGACCTCACCAGGTCGACCACACCTTTGGTCGACCAGCTCCAGGTCGACGTCACTCCTGGTCAACCAGCTCTACGTCGACCAGCACAGTTGTCAGCCGACCACCCAAGTCGACTACCCGAAGTCGGCGTCACTAAGTTGACGCCCTGCTACTCGACGCCCAGCTGCTCGGCGTCGTGAGTCTCCCCTGTCGTGGTCGACGTTGGCCCCTCCTCCGACGACCACCAAGTCGGGTCGACCACCAGGTCGACAACACTCCTGGTCGACCAACCACCAGGCCGACCAGCGGTCCTGTCAACCGACCACCCAAGTCGGCTGCCCCAAGTCGATGTCACTAAGTCGACGCCTTCCGCAGGTCGACTTCCCAGGTCGACCTCCCCGAAGTCGGTGTTACTCTGAAGTCGGCGCCCGTGCAGTGGCCCCCGTGCAGGTCGACCAACCCCATCGACCAGTTAGCTCACTGCTGCAGGTCGGCTGCTCCCCTCACACCTGACCACGAAGTTGGCTCCGCCCAAGCGAGGACGGGGCCAACACACAACTCCCGTTGACAGCCTTGTGCTATGGCATGTGGTTGCTGGGCACGGAGAAGTTCTCAATAGGGTAACCAGCAAGTGAGCCATCTTCATTGTTTGCCACTCGCTCTTTGCCAGTATGTACGGTATTGTCTGCCTATTGCAGTATACCGTATGCGGAAAGCATCACTGGATGGATGGGTGTGGAGAATGTTATCAATAGATGTCCCTCCCAACATGTGGCAAGGCTGAAATGTACAGGGCGTGGACTGACAATGCATGGCCACATGTTACGGAAAGAGGAGGATGCACAGGGTAGTGAAACTTCCTACAGTTGCACTTGAAGGTGGAGCAGATACAATCCATAGAAACAAAGCTGCTTCACATGGATAATTTACAAAACACCAGATGGAGAATGCAAGGGATGGCGTGCGTGTCAACAATCCAATCCAAGCCACCATGGGTCAGACTCATGTCGCGGGCTGAAGAGAGGTGCCGAGTTAGGGGAGTCTGGGTGGGGGATGCAGCGGAACCATACTCTGCTGCCTCACGGCATGGGTGGGGCAGCATGGCGGAAGCAGAGGTGAGTTGTGAGACGTCAGGAAGGGGAGAGACGTCGCAAGTGAAGGGTGAGGAGCGTGAGGAGGGTGAGGGCAAGGATGGCAAGGAGGAGGTGGTGGCAGAAGCACAGGTTGAGGCGCTGTTCTTAAGGACACAGCACTGGGAGGCGCTGCTTGTGGGGAGGAGGGGCGGAGGAGAGGCAGTGCTGGACGAGGGGCATGGACACCACAGGTATGCCTTGGCACTGCCGCCAGCCCTCGCACCCGTGCAGCAAGTTAACAGGCCGGGTTTAGATGGGGTGAAGGAGGGGCGGTGGCGGAAAGACATTGCTTGACGAGGGCAAAGACGGCATCAGCATCCACTGTGACTGTCACTCGCACTGGTGGTACACCATTCTGTAGGGGCGTTCCATCTGGGTGGGGAAAAAGGGGGGAAAGAAAGGATGATGAAGTGAGTGAGATCATGCTATCTGGACGTATGCAGGTCAATGTCAGTGGGGCACACCATGTTGTGGCCGTTTTCAATGCATCAGGACAAAACAGCAGGGGGGGGGGGGGGGGGGGGGGTGGGGGGGGAAGAGGAAGAGTGAGTGTGGGGTAGTTGTATTCGCAGATGCGAGTGAGTATGGCCAGGCTCCTCCACGCATGCTGTGGGAGCATTGTAGGAAGGAAGGATATATTGAAAATGGAAGGATAAACGCATGGAAAAGTGCACGGTGTCATGTCATTATGATTGCTGATACATTACTGGATGGTATTAATTTACTACAGAAGTGTGGGAGCTTGGTCTGGTGGTATTATTCTTGCTTCGGGTGCAAGAGGTCCCGAGTTCGCTTGTCAGATCACCCCATAGATCTGCACTCTTTCACTATTTTGTGCTTCGCTAGTTTCCCATTGATTATTTGCCCTTTGCAGTTGCACTCTCTTGTTGCTGCCTATTTCTATCACAACCACAGATACCAGAGCAGTTTATCACATCCACCCTTCGGCAAGCCACTCACACTTTGTTGGTGTTGTTTAGCAAAGTAAGTCCCCTGGCGATGCGGTCAAGCTGCACGCGCACCACGCCCTCGTGGAAGGTGAAGAGAGAATCGTCCATGGCTACCACCATGGTGGTGGGGTCGTGCAGGTATACCGCTGCACGGTGTCACATGGGGGGGGAAGAGTAGAAAGAGAGGAGCGGGTGAGAAGAAAGAGGGAGGGAAGACAGGGGAATTACTAATGCAACACCATGGTGGTGGGGTCGTGCAGTGCAGTAGGCCGCTGCACTGTGTTACACGGGGGAGGAAGAGAGGGAGAGGTGGAGGCTGTGATGTGGGCATTCGCAGTGCAGGAGTCGCTGGGTCGTCCATCGTGGTCACCATGGTGGTGGGGTCATGCAGATCTACTGCTTCAGCATGGGGAATCAGGGATGAGGGGTCATGCAGGTGCACTGCTGCACAGAGCACATTGGGGGGAGAGGAGTGGTGAGAGGCCAGAGGGCGGAATAAAAAACGCAAGTCAGAGGAGGGTGGAATGGCCATGGTGAGGGGAAATCAGGCAATTTGTGCGGGCTTTGAGTTGAGAGGCATTGAGAAGGGGGGGAACGCGATGGCATGGAATTGGCAGTGCGGACAGATGGGTATTGCCACAACAAGGAGGTGGAAAAGGGGAGGGGGGGGGGGGGGGGGGAGGGGGTTGAGTGGGAGGGTGTTTATGCAGGTGCACTGGATGGCTGTGGGGGGTTACGAAGTGGGAGGAGGATTGGGGAAAGGGAGGCTTGACAGTGTAAGCTACCGTTTAGGTACCATTCCCAGCGCACACCATCCCACCACGCACCATCCCACCACGCACCATCCCACCACGCACCATCCCCCGACGCACCATCCCACCACGCACCATCCCCCCACGCACCATCCCCCGACGTATCATCCCCTGACGCACCATCCCCCCACGCACCATCCCCCCACACACCATCCCACCACGCACCATCCCACCACGCACCATCCCACCACGCACCATTCATGCCACATGACTCCTTGTGGTAGCGGTAGTAGAACTGCGACGTGTCGTACAGGAACCGGTCGAACGGGCCCTTGCTGTCTCTTATGTCCTCCATATCCCTCACTGCACATACGGCACACACACGACACATGCGATGGGACAATACATGGTAACCCAACGACTGTAACGCATTGTAATGGTTGAAATTCATAGTATGCCACAGTTTTTGTACTAGGTAACGGCATGAATTCACAGACTGTGTTGCAAACACCTGAGGAAGAACCTGGTATATGCTGGAACCACCTGAGGAGTGACCTGGTGTGCTGCATTTACCTGAGAGGGTGACTTGGTGCGTGATGTTGGTGCCTATGACTGTGCACTTGGCGCCACACGTGAACACCGCATCTGCTGCATCGGGGAATATCTGCCGCATCTGCACCGCATTTGGTCCCCAAATATCTGCCCGGGGAATACGGTCATGGGGAATGGCATGGGGATGGAAGAAGGGCATCGGAATAGCAATGAGGGGTTTGCAAAAGAGGAAAGGACCTGCAATAAAGCAGTGAGCAGCAATCTTCACACCCATCCCACGCCAAACCATGTACATTCCCCCTGCTAACGTGCTACCTCACCTCCCCACTGCCCATAGGCATACCCATCTCTCACCGCCTTGCATTGCAGTCAGCGACAAGAATAAAGAACGACGTGAGTGGAAGAGAGCAGCAACGGCAGAGTGGAAGAGAGCAGCAATAGCAGAGTGGAAGAGAGCAGCAACGGCAGAGTGGAAGAGAGCAGCAACGGCAGAGTGGAAGAGAGCAGTAGCGGCAGAGTGGAAGAGTGTTCAACGAAGCTCACATTCGCCCCACCACTCACATTTGCCCCACCACTCACATTCGCCCCACCACTCACATTCGCCCCACCACTCACATTCGCCCCACCACTCATATTTGCCCCACCACTCATATTCGCCTCGCCTCTCACATTCGCCTCGCCTCTCACATTGGCCTCGCCTCTCACATTGGCCTTGCCACTCACATTAGCCTCGGCCGCGGGGTTGACGTTGCCGTTGGTGAAGAAAGAGCCGCCCAGAATGATGATCTCCGCCACGTGTTGGGGGGAGGACGGGTCCAGCTGCAGCGCCTGGGGGGAGGGGAAGGGGCGAGAAAGGGGGGGTTGGGAGGAGGAGGGGGGAGGGGGGGGGGGTGGAGAGGGGAGTGGTAGGGGGGCTGGGCTGAGTGCACAGCACCGAATGATGATCTGCGCCACGTGCTGGGGGGAGGAGGGATCCAGCTGCAGGGCTGGAATGGGGTGGGGGGCAGGCGGGCGCAGGAGACGGTGGGGGCTGAGCTGAATTCCCCGCCCAGAATTATGATCTCCACCGCATGCTGGGGGAAGGAGGGATCCAGCTGCAGGGCCTGGGGGTAGGGAGAGGGGGGGGGGGGGGAGGGGGAAGGGGCAGGAAGGGCAAGTGTAGAGCAGAGAGGGATGAGAGATGGGGGCTAGGCTGATGATTTCATCCATGTGGTGGGGGAATGAGGGGTCCACCTGCAGGGCATGGAGGGTGGGGAGGAGGGAAAGGGGTGGGGGGGCCAAGCAAGCATGGGAACCAGGCGAGGCGACTTTTGAGGGACTTAACGTGGCCAAGGCGAGTGCGAGTTTTGAGCTGCCTCCACAGTGCACCTCAAACTTGCGCCTGAAAAGTCACCTAGGAAGATCACAGTGGCAACTGTGGTGAGGGTTCTCATCAACGTGCCCCGGATGAGTGCATGCTGTGACCTGCTTGGGCGACTTTTGAGGGACTTCACGGTCGACTCACAAGTGTCTTTTCAGGCGCCTCAGGCCCAACCCACTCACCTTTGCTAGGTTGGTGAGCGGCCCCAAAGCCACCGCTGTGATCTGTCAAGGCCAACGTTTGAGGTGCGCCTTTGAAGCGCACCCCCCTCACTCACTTTTGCTAGGCTGGTGAGCGGCCCCAAACCAGAGCCACCACAGTGAACTGCCCAAACGACTTTCGAGGGTCAAATATTCAGGTGCATCAAACCCCACTCACCTTGGCTAGGTTGGTGAGCAGGCCGAGAGCCACCACGCCACAGTGATCTGCTTGGGCGAGCATTTGAAGCACACTTAAAAGGCGCACTCCTGAGGCAGCCAGCTCAAAACTTCCTCACCTTGGCTAGGTTGGTGAGCGGCCTCAGAGCCACCACTGTGATCTGCCCGGGTGATGCCCGGACCGTGTCCACCAGGAACTGCGCTGCTCCCTTATGGGCTTGCCACGTGGCGGATGCTGATTGGTGTTGCCCATGCAGTCACTGCCATGCACAAAACCCGCCACTCGGATCTTCTCCACGCCCCAGCCAGTCATTGCATGCCGGACATTGAATGCCACCCACCCATGCCAGCCCATGCCACCCACATATGCCACCCACACGTGCCACACACCCATGCCACCCACCCATGCCAGCCCATGCCACCCACCCATGCCAGCCCATGCCACCCACCCATGCCAGCCCATGCCACCCACATATGCCACCCACACGTGCCACACACCCATGCCACCCACCCATGCCACACACCCATCCCACCCACCCGTACACACACACACACACACACACACTCACACACTCACACACGCACATACACATGCATACACAGGGGTTGAGAGAAGTAAGTTGGCAGAGAGGATGGCGGATGGGAGGGCTTGGCATAGAGGACATGTTGATGGCATGAGAGCACGTGGGGTAGCAGAACGTGGGAATAGCATGTGAGAACATGGGGATTGCATGACAGCACATAATATTCTGCAAAAATGACGAGGACGTAGCATGGGGCGCAGGAGAGCAGGGGGGTGCAGGAGCAGTCAGCAGATGGCACGGACGTGGCACGTAGAAGGAGACGAGGAAGGGGAGGTGGAGGGGGAGGGGGAGGGGGAGGGGGAGTGGGAGGGAGTGGGGCCACGGGGAGCGTATAGGCGGGCGTCTAGGCGAAATTGCGGTGGAGGAGAGATGATAAACATGGGCACGCGGTGCAGTGTGGGAGAGTTTGAGAGCTCACGAGGCGGAGTGCGTTGGCGGTGGCGGTGGGTGTGTGCACGTTGCCAAAGACGGTGGTGATGCCGACTGTGCAGCTGCGCGGGCGACAGGAAGGCGAGTAGAATCGCCTTCGTGTCGTCTGAAGCACAAGGGACAGGGTTGGCCGGGAATAACGGAGCGAGAGGGGGGGAGGTGGAGAGGGAGGGGTGGGAGCGGGTGAAGAGAGTGATGATTGGCAAAGATGGTGGTGACACTGTCAGATTTATATGACAGAGCTACTGTAGGCTATAGTGGGGTAGCACATATGGGGTACAGTTTTCTAGGGTTTGCATTTTGTACCCAACTTTCCCTTAGTCATTCTCATTCCTCGTTTCTTCTCATGGTATCGAGCAGGTTCCCTAGTGGGAACGATTCCTAGGGCCCACCACCACGAAATTTTTTTTCCTGCCCGGAGCGCGCTTCGCTCAGGCCCGAGTCGCGCCCTGGGTGCTCCCCCCCTACCGTCGCGCCCTCGCTAGGCCCCTCACGGCCCCGTCGCGTCGCCCTTAGCGGCCCCCTCACGGCTCGTCGCGCCGCCCCTTACGGCCCTTCGTGCCGCCCTTACGGCCCGTCGCGCCGCCCTTACGGCCCCTCGTGCCGCCCCTTACGGCCCCTCGCGCCGTCCCTTACGGCCCCTCGCGCGGCCCCTTACGCCCCTTACGGCCCCTCGCGCGGCCCCTCACGCCCCCCCTACGGCTCGTTGCCGCCCTCCGCGGCCCCGCCACCTACCTGTGCGGCCCCACCACCTACCTGTGCGGCCCCGCCACCTACCTGCGGCCCCACCACCTACTAGCGGCCCCGCCACCTACCTGCGGCCCCGCCACCTACTAGCGGCCCCGCCACCTACCTGCGGCCCCGCCACCTACCTGCGGCCCCGCCACCTCCTAGCGGCCCCGCCACCTACCTGCGGCCCCGCCACCTACCAGCGGCCCCGCCACCTACCCGCGGCCCCGCCACCTACCTGTGCTGGCCCCGCCACCTACCTGCGGCCCCGCCACCTACCAGCGGCCCCGCCACCTACCGGCGGCCCCGCCACCTACTAGCGGCCCCGCCACCTACCTGCGGCCCCGCCGCCTCCTCTCAGCGGCCTCGCCGCCTCCTCCCAGCGGCCCCGGGCGCCGCCCTCTCAGCGGCCCCGCCGCGCCGCCAAGCAGCCGAGCCGCCCGGCAGCCGAGCCGCCCAAAAGCCGAGCCGCCAAGCCGCCCAGCAGCCGAGCCGCCGAGCCGCCGAGCAGCCGCGCCGCCGAGCCGCCCTGCAGCCGAGCCGCCGAGCCGCCCAGCAACCGAGCCACCCGAGCCGCCCTGTCCGGTAAGAGCAGCGCCTCTTTCACAGCACTGCCCTCACCCTACTGTTTGCGCTGCTAGTCTACTGCTGTCATGGCTACCCCTAGTGTCCTCGCTTTTGATGCTGAGGGTCGGGCCATTGACTTTGACGTCTGGATAGATGACCTGCAGCTTTTCTTACAGTGCGACAGAGCAGACGGCCTCTCCCTCTTTGACCTCACTTCTGGTGCCTCCCCTGCCCCCGCTGCTGATGCTGACGCCACTGTTCGCTCACAGTGGGCCACGCGCGATGCTGCTGCACGTCTTGCTGTGCGTCGCCACCTGCCTACCTCTGAGCGTGCGCACTTTAGCCAGTACAAGAGTGCTCACACCTTGTACGACGCTGTAGTTGCGCGCTACTCCTCCCCTGCCACTGCTGCACTGAGCCGCCTCATGCTACCGTACCTCTTCCCTGACCTTGCTGCCTTTCCCACAGTCGCTGACCTCATTACGCACCTCCGCACTAGTGACACTCGCTACCGCGCTGCGCTTCCTGCTGAGTTCTGCGCCAAGAACCCCCCCCCCATGTACATCACCCTCTACTACATAGTCACCCGGCTCCCTGACTCCCTTCGCGTAGTCAGGGACCACTTCCTCTCAGTTTGCCCCACCACTCTCACCGTTGACCTCCTCGAGAAGTCCCTCCTAGCAGCAGAGAAGAGCATAGTCGCTGTAGGAGCCTCTCGTGGTGACCCTCGCACCCCCATCTTTGAGGGGTGTTCCCCCTCCCCCCTTTTGCCCTCTGTTGCCTCTGCTGCTGCGGCCGACCTCGTTGGGCTTGAGTCGGTCGGTGCGGCGTCTACCCCTAGCGGGAGACGCCGCCCTGGCAAGGGCAAGGGGGGCAGGGGCACTGGAGGAGCTAGCGGGGGCGGTGGAGGCGGCGGTGGAGGCAGTGGAGGGGGTGGGGGTGGCGGTGGGGGTGGTGGTTGGGGTGGAGGTGTCGGTGGCGGCGGTGGAGGCGGAGGCGGCGGCGGCGGTGGCGGTGGCGGTGGGAGCGGAGGTAGCGGCGGTGGAGGAGGCGGCGGCGGAGGAGGTGGAGCTGGTCGGGGTGGCGCTGCGCAGAGGGTAGGCTCCGGTGGTGGTCAGCGCCAGCAGCAGCAGCAGCAGCAGCAGCAGCAGCAGCGCACTCGTGACATCCCCCCCCCTCAGCAGCTCCGTGAGTGGTACGCTGCACGCCAGCGGGGTGGGGGTACTGGTCCGTGCACCTACGTCCTCCGCACCGGCGACCGCGCGGGTGACCAGTGCGGGGGGGCACACTCCACCCAGCGCTGCTTTGGCCGCCTGACGGACGCTTGGCGTCACCAGTTCCCTGAGGCCACTGAGATGCCCCGCTGGGGTGAGCTGTCTAGGGCGGGTGTCGCTGTCTTTGACCTTGACTTTGATGCTATTCTTGCTGCTATGTATACTGTGACTATTAGTGATGAGGGTGACTGTTACCGGTGTTTTCCGCCCGACCCGGGCATTGAGACTGCTGCTCTAGGTACTGGTGAGGCTGCTGCTCTAGGTGCTAGCGAGGCTGCTGCTCTAGGTGCGTCTGCTCCCTCAGGTGCTGGTGAGTCTGCTCTCTCAGGTTCTGCGTCGGCTTCGGCCTCCCACACCTTCACCCTTGACTCGGGGGCTTCTCGCTCCTTCTTTCGAGACCGCACCACACTCACGCCGCTTGGCCGGCCAGTTGCGGTCTCTCTGGCAGACCCCTCTGGGGGTCCTGTCCTTGCTCACTTCTCCACTGTCCTCCCGTGTCCGGCGGCCCCCTCTGGCACCCTGTCTGGTCTTTACCTCCCCTCGTTCTCTACGAACTTGGTGAGTGGTGCTGACCTACAGGATGCAGGGGTTCACCAGTTCACTCCTGCGAGTCAGCGGGTGACCCACTGCACGGACGCTCGGACTGGCCGATACCTGGCCACGTTTACCCGTCGGCCGAGGTCGAGCCTGTACACCCTGACCACTGCGTCTCCTCCAGTCACTGCGTCTGGTCAGGTAGCTGCGTCGGGTCAGGTGTTTGCTGCAGCGTCCAGGTCTGGTCCTGAGTCTGCCCCCTGTTCGTGTCGCCTCCTGTCTCACGAGACTCTCCTCTGGCACCACCGCCTTGGTCACCCCTCCCTGCTTCGTCTCCGAGGCATGGCCTCCCGTGTCCTTGTCTCTGGTCTTCCCCGGTCCCTCCCTCCCCTTCCTTCGGGGCCTGGCCCTACCTGCGTCCCCTGTGTCGAGGGGCGGCAGCGGGCTGCCCCTCACTCCTCCCAGTTTCCTCCGACAGAGGCCCCGCTGCAGACGCTTCACATGGACGTGTGGGGCCCGGCCCGCGTCCGTGGACAGGGTCACGAGCGCTACTTCCTGCTGGTGGTTGACGACTACTCGCGTTACACCACAGTCTTCCCCTTGCGCAGCAAGGGTGATGTCACTGAGGTGTTGATCGACTGGATCCGCGCAGCTCGTCTCCAGCTCAGGCAGAGCTTCGGCTCGGACTTTCCTGTTCTGCGTCTGTACTCTGACAGAGGTGGAGAGTTCTCCTCTGGCCTTCTGCGAGCCTACTGTCGTGCGCGAGGCATCCGCCAGACCTTCACGCTTCCGGACTCTCCACAGCAAAATGGGATTGCTGAGCGCCGCATTGGCATGGTCATGGACGTCGCCCGTACGTCCATGATGCATGCGGCTGCCCCCCATTTTCTGTGGCCGTTTGCGGTTCGGTACGCGGCGCATCAGATCAACCTTCACCCTAGGGTCTC